GCAAGGCACTAATGCGCACTATGTGTAGCCGAGAGATTTTCACGAAAAAATGCCGGCAACAGCAGATTTTCGACTCAGACCTCAAAGGGGCGTGGCATTATAACCACGTGACATTTACTCCGATCGCCAAAAATTTTATGTTATATTGTAGATTGATCTATATGTTATCCATTCTATGTGTTAGACTTACGATAAAAGTAAAGGTGGGGATACCAGAGAGCTTCAAAGTAGGATGGTACCCCCTAAAGAAAACTGGGTCGAGTCACCTTAATGGGACAGTACTTTCCTTAGTATCTTTGCTGTTCCCAACAATGCTGTTTTCTGGATAACTTCTAACCTCACGTTCACGCCGATTCGCCTCATGTACTCCTTAAAGTTGACTGATACGGCTCCAAAGGCGCCAGTAACAACAGGCACTACAATGACTTTTCGCATGCCCCAGACTTTTGCAATTTCATCTTTCAATAGTTGGTATTTCTCTAACTTCTCAAGTTCCTTATCTTTCACCCTGTCATCACCAGGGGTGGTAACACCAATGTAGTTATGATAACCTCTCCCTCCTTCTTATCAAGAAAGACAATGTCTGGTCTTCTTGCCTCATTATTATTATTATTATTATTATTATTATTATTATTATTATTATTATTATTCAGTGGTTTTGTTAACTGAAGGATTCTCTAACTTGTCTTTGAATTACCTTCTAGCCTCTAGGCGCATTCAACAGTTCCTGTCTTGTTCTGGGAGACATCTTCGTTTTAATAATGTAAGAAACTGCTGGAATAGCCATTGGGACATATCTTGCCAAGTAAACGACGGATCAAATAGTTTCTTTGTCAACTGTGGCAAAGACAAGACGTCTTTTGGATGGGTGTGCTACACACCATACAATCCACTCTGTTGCGAATTTGTGTGTCCTCAAGTAAGTGCCATGTAAAGCTCAAAGCTTGAGTCATAGGATTTTCGAAACTTGTAAAGTGGACTGCCCCATTTACACGTAAGCGTAAACATATTGAGAAACTGTTTAGAAAAACACTTCATATAAGCAGAAAAACAACTTGTCTTACTGTGCTTAAGACTTTCAATGATTAGTGCAAGTTTCAGGCCAATTACGCGGAATATGTTAAAGTTAATTTGAATCCAGTGTAAACCCGTGTGTCCCTAGCTGTTTTTTGTTACTGTTATTATTTTTGTGTTTGTTTGTTTATTAGCAGTTAACGAGATAATAAATAATGAGTCCTCTTAATTCGATTAAGAATTTTTTTTGGGGGGGGGGGAACTATGTCACAAAATTTATCAAAATTCATACTAGGGGAACTACCGCCAAGTTAAGTGAAATATAAAAATAACCGTTCAAAACGTTAAAAGAAGGTATAAAAGAACACAGTACATACAAGAGAAAATTTTAAGAAGATTAAAGCGGAATACAATTAGGGTCGTTTTGACAACTTGTTAGCCTAACAATTTTTCAAAGGTCATTTTTGTTGTTTGTAACATCTGATATTATGCTTGGGAGATATACGGTATTTGTTTGACAAGGAGTTGTGAATTTGTCTTTGCCAAGAATATCTTCACTTAAGTTAACCTCCATTGCAAAAATGGACGTAAATTGGACAAAATTTGCAAACGAATTACACAGTCGTGACACAGCCCCTTTAACACCTCTATAAAGGCCTATTTGAACGGTACGATTTTTCCTTACGGCTACTATTGTGCGCGACTAGCATACGTCAAGACTTTCGACCATCCACATGCGCACAATTTTCACTTACGATATCCACAATGTGTCGTGTAAATGTCGTGGGACTAATTTACACGACATGATCTGTCGTAAGGTCATGACGCATGCTACTCGCGCACGATAGTCTTAAGCAAAAATCGTACTGTCTAAATCGGCTTAAGACGTACACCCCGGTAAGACACCTAGAGCTGGCGCCTGCCTTTCCTTGTTCTCTTTTTTTAAACTCTGATCCCTATAAGTCGGACATTTAGCGTCGGTCTAAAAGGTTTCTTTCTTAAAGAGAGTTGACACAATGGGTGTCCCTGTTAAGACACGTAGTTATTTTATGTCCCACAGAGTGAATTAAACAATCGATCGGAGCAAAGATGGCACTTTCTCGTCATTTATTCTAAGACCCTAAAAGCTAGCTGCATTGTGAATATTTCTACGTAATTAGTAATTCTCTAAACGTTTGTAACATTTTGCATTCCGATAGTGAACACCATACTGCTTCTATTTTTTGTAATGTGTGTTTGCCTAGGCCCCAGCTTTCGTTGCGTGTGGCTAGCGTAGTTAAATGAATTTGTTTTTGTTTTTTTGTTGTTGTTGATTGTCTTAAACTCATGCCATTTTTTTTTTTTGGCTTGCTCGGCATCCTTTTATACACAGATTAAATTTTCTATCACGATTACCTCGATTTATACGGAGTTTAAGTCGAATGGAATATATTTGATTGATTCAAAATGACAAAAGGTTCCAGTTCCTTCTTTAATAATAAATGAC